AGGTTGGAGGCCATCGCTAGTAGGTTGGAGGCCACTGCTAGTAGGTTGGGGAGGCCATCGCTAGTAGGTTGAGTCGTGGGGCCCAGGAGCCACTGGCAGCTTCAGCAGTGAGGACGGCGCCAGAGGCCTCCATGGCAGATCGTTTGGCAGGCGAGGAGTCTGAGGACGACGTCGGACATGGCTTGTGGATGGACTGGATTGATGGATGAAGGAGTCTAACTTACTAATGAGTTTTATCGGGTCTAACAAAGCATGGAAACATCTTCAAACGAAGGGTTAGACTCCATGTTGTCCTCAGACTTTTCAGAATAACTACTGTGATTCATGGTCCACGTCTCACTGAACCAGAACAAGAACACGACATCAAAGTAGCCTTCGAGATCAAGAAATCCATGATGTTTTTCATATTCATACTTTTTCGCTGCCTGCGTGCAGTTCTTTAGAAGAAGACCTATCCAATAGAGGCAGCGACAACTCAAACTGAGCTCAATGACCTCTCGAATTTGCCCACTGTCTTTCTGTCACAAATTGTATCCATTTGTAATGGCTACTTGGTAATCTTTCTGAGATGATACTCTAAGGCAGCTTGGCGGGTCCTCGAACTTTGCCAAATGTGCTGTCGACGCCTTGGCTAGTTCGTCCGAACATCCTCCGCACGTTCGTCTTGTGCACCTGTGAGCCACATGCATCGGCCGTTCATGCCGCACCATTCTTGAAGGCCGACAGATTCATTGGTTGACCTAGGCCGCCGACCTCCATCGGCACGACTCCATGGACTGTGCCAGGCGCGGGCGTTTTGTACCAAAAAAACGATCTGAACTGAAGTCAGAGTGAGACACCTCTCAGAGTGGCTTCAGTGGAGCCTCCTCACCATATGTTTCACTCGATGTTATTCATTCTCATGCAGGCACTGGACTGGCACGGCACTCAGGGCGGCACGATTGAATCCAAATCATGACTGACCGGACTGTACCACGTTGAGCATCCTTGGCGTGAGCAACTATGTTGGGCCTTTTTTGGTAGATCGGATTAGAAGTGTCTCAGACATCATCATTAGATTATTTTGCGCAGCCTCACAGCTTCAAGTGTCGCTCTGCTTGGCTCAATGATGCAAAAGAAAGACCAGCCAACATTGACCACTTTTCAATACTTTTCATTGCAGCGTCCAGAAGAAAAGGGACGAAGCAATCCAGGTGGTGCCGGCAGTGAGTGCCATGAGTCAGGCTGTTGGGCTGATCTACGCTTTTGTGGCAGCCATCGCCTTTGGCATTCAATATGTGCCTGCGTTCTGGCTGCAACTCATGTGTGGGCAATACTTGCAATGAACGGCAGGTGGATTGTTTCCATGGTTTTTGCCCCTGCTTTCAACTTTGATAACGAAAACAGTCTTTCGATAGCACAAACGCACCCTGTGTGCCTTTTTGGCCTCCCGAATTGGCACAAATCGATTCGAGGTGAAGAAGTACGAGATTTTCGTCCCTTGGACGGCACATCGGCACAGATTTCACTCCAAAACCCGGACTCCGACGCGTCTCGAACCTCACGCGAGTTGGACGAAGGAAGGAACGGCCTTTCAATGGTTTATGTGCAATGGGATTCTGATGTGCGGCTTCATCATTGCTGCGGCTAGTGGAGAACTTCAGCGTGGGCTTTCTCCGTTGGTGATGCTGGGTGGAGTTGCTTGGCGAAAGAGATGTATCAGTGTAGTCATGTGCTCTCCCATGTACTCGTAACATCTCGTAACTGGTTCGTGTTCGAAGGTCCAATAGTTTTTACATCTATCTCCTAGTCCGATTCCAAAAGACCCATATGTCGATAATTCTGAAGTGGACCAGTCGAGACTCAAGACTATCGGCGCGGACAGGTCTTTTGGGCCTCGTCAAACTATCTGGTCCTGCCATTGGTGAAGCTCCTGGGGATTGGCCTGGGCTTTTCCCTCTATCACTTCGTGCAGCTCGGCGCGAGCTCGGCGCGAGCTCGGGCGGTCGAATTCGGTCCCCGGAGTCGAGACGAAGCGACCCGTGGATGGACCGCTTCCGAGAGGACGGCGCGCAATGGGAATCGGTTCGCCGTGCATGTTGGCTTCTGCACTCACTTGTTTGGGCATCCGACTAGGAATCTGATGACTGGTTACTGCATCGGACGCTTTGGGCTCTTTGGAGTGAAAGTCTTAACTGGCAAGCTTCTATATTGCGCCTCACTTGCAAATGTGCGGAACCGATCCAGAACCACTAGGGCTCTTCTTGGTCTGAGTCAAATGCAGTTTTTTGGAACTGGCAAGCTTAGTCACCAAGCCTTAGTGCGTGGTTGGTCTCGAAACAGTTTGAATCGGGAACGATTTAACCGAGTCGGCCTAAATCTATGGTTCGCACAAATCGGACATTCTGTGCAGGTGACATCGGTTGCTTTCTGATTCTTATATCCTTCTTTGCGATGGTCTTTGTGGAGGTCTGGACCGGCTAACCTCCCCAGACATCAATTTCGTTCAATGCCTTGAGACGCACAAAGGCAGATTCACAGCTATGCATGTGAAGTAGCATCGTGTTGTTAAGCATCTTCAGCATCATCAGATTACTGTGCACTAGTGCCATCTCAACCCACCAAAACGGCGTTGATCTGGTAGATGGGATCTCACTGCGTGTTCCCTAGGCAGGTCATGAGAACGGGGAGGTCTCTGACTCTGACAGTGAATGATACTTAGCTTGAGTCAGGTGGGAATTGGACCATGGGAAATTGCTTTTGGCCTTACAGTCCAGTACTAGGTCACGAAGGGCCAAGTGTTGGAGATTTTATTATCGGTTGAAGGGCTAAAAACCAAGTCACTTCGCTGAAGATACGAGATATGATTTTGATGTAATTTACATGAACTAGCTTTCGATGTCCTGTGCCCATGAATGGGTGGATTTTTGGAATGAGTCTTCCAAAGAAATACATGTTTTCCCAGAAACCGATCAAACAAGTCATGGCCGTACTACTAGGAGCAAGGACGCTACTAGGGGCTCCTGGCCATACTACTGGGAGCAAGGACGCTACAGGAATCTTGGACTTCAAGCGATTTTCACCGAGGCAGCTCGGACGAGTCTGGAAGCTGCTTGGCACTCAGAGTTCCTTTCGAAAAAAGGATAGACGGTCTGAGGCTTCAACAACGATAGTTCCTAGACCAGACCGTCTAATTTTGTGTTGAACGCTCTCTTTGGATAGATGTTGATTTGGTTTTGATCTCAGCAGGGCATGTTTTGGCTCGTATGTTCTACAGCAGCACACCTAAGGGCAAAACAACACGAGAATTCCTTCACTTGACACACTTTGGTTCCCTACCGTGCTCCACTGAGACGACAAAGTTGTGAAAGCCACGGGTACAATGGCAAAGGCGCGGCTGGGCGATGGTAATTTCAATGTGTTGGATGATGACCGTACGACCTGCAAGAAAGCTAGACCATTCTTCGGCGGTAAAGCAGTTGAGAGGAGCACAGATGCTTTTCGTTTTTCAGAGGCCGTCACTTCTGGACTAGGTTTTTCAAATGTACAATGACGTTGATGAGATGATGATTGATGGTTGTCAACAGAGACTTCAAGTTCATGACGTCGTTGGCCTCCGTCAATGCCAGACGTCGTGTCATGTTATCCATCCCAGCGATGGCTAGTCTCCAGGCGGAAGAGCTGGGCACCTTGGACCGCTTGGGGCCAGGCCGGGCCGGTGAAGACGGGGCGTTGGAAAGCGGATATGAATAAACCCACTACATCAACCACAGAACAATACAGAACACATTGACATATGCATTCATGTGTTTTTTTGTATTTCAATATAAGACAAAACATCTACAGGTCACAAACCCAAAGACTTTCCCATCCTGACCGAGAAAGGTGTGTGACCTTCGTACTTTTGTGGAAATGATGGTTTTGTATCTTTAACGATGCAGGTCAACTTGTTCTCTGAATACCGGAGGTGCTCAGAAGGTGCTGGGAGTCGTTTTGGCGATCTTGGCCGGTGTCCTTTGCGGAGTGAACGGAGTGCCAGCCACCCTTTGGGAAGCTTGGGCCAGCATGGATGGGCCAGCCAGTCGTAAGCTGTTAGGAGGCCGAGGCCGAGGCATGGTACCAATCTCGTATTCACTAAGATGCTTTGCATTGTCACCCATGTTGCTACCTGAAGCATCAGCATGCATCACAACTATTCTGTGACTGATGTGTCTCTGCTCTTGCATACAACAGTCACAGCACGAGGAAGCGGGGTGAAGCGGTCACGTGTCACGTGCCTAGGAAGCGCAGCATCCCGAGGCGGATGCCTTTAGCGTGGCATTGCCGCTCGAAACCTCAAGGGACTCAGGCCTTTACCACACCTGAAATGCTACTGACTAATGATACTATTGCAGAACAAAACCACAAGTCTGAATGCCTGGATCCCACTTTGATGAGAGAGGATGACTAAGTATGGTTGTTGGCCTTATCACCTGCCCTCATTGTGACAGTTTCTGGGACACAAGATTCTGACATTCTCCAGTGCAAGACCTGGGCCTGGAGAAAGAACCCTCAGATTTCAATCCACGAGAGATCCAGTCAAGCCAACCACGTGGGCTATGTGGAGATGGGAGATTGGTGAGCAGTAAACAAGAAGCAAAGAGCAAATGCTTCTAGGTTGGAGGCCATCGCTTCAAAGAACTTGAGACAGCATAAGAAAGAGTGAGTCAAATTGAGTCAATTCTTTTTCAAAATAACAGACAACAAAAACACGGCCGAGGCCACAATGCCTTGGGATTTGGGTTTGCTCCAGTGGCTGGGTGTGATTGAACATGACAAGGAGCTGCAAAGCTTTGACACTTTCTTTGTTTAAACTATTGTTAAATGTTGTTTTTCAATTTCTTCAGGACCTTTCCTTTTTCTTTCCTGGGTTCAAACGAAGCAGATTGCAGATCGAGCACTTGAAGACCAGAGTGGAATCGACTCAGGTGGAATCTTGATTGTTTATTCCAGCTTGGCTGTGGTGCGGGGCGCCTCTCGTCCACGTTTCCGCTCTCCGCGGCCCCGCCGTTCGCCCGAACGAAGCTGAGGTGAAGCTCAAGAAGTCGGTGATTGGCCCGGCCTACGGCAGTGGCTGCATTTGGGGCATCGGCTTTGCATGCATGATGAAGGGTATCTCAGACCCAGAGGTGTCTCCAAGTACTCGGTTGAGGCATCTTTTTCGGACCTTGGAGACGTTGCCCACGTCTTTCCTTCCCCCTAAAACGGGGAAGAAACTCACGGGAGCTACTAGTAGCGAATGACATTCCAAGAGCTAGTAGCGATGCTCTTTGTTCGTAGTAGCTTCCTTGCTCCTAGTAGCGATGCCAGGGGCTTCTACCCTTTTCTTTCAAGGTATTGCCAATTTGGGCTACTCGGTGGGTTACACCTTGGATGCCGTTGGGCCAATTTTGGTGTCCAGCTTGCTGTCGGTCTTCGTGTCGGGGCCTCAGCGGCCCTGCCGCCGTGAATTCATGGGATTTGGGACAATCTACACCGCAGGACATTGCGCTTGTCAGGATGCCATGGATCAATATGGATCAATATGATCTGGATATATTATATATATAAACGTGAATAAAACACTGTAAATTACAATGAACCATTTGAAGAGGTAGTTCTTGGGGGGTACTTAATGCCATATCGAGCGAACTATCAAGATTCGATCAATCATAGCATATACAACATAATATTACTACATTTGTCATTTTGTACCTAGCTTGCATCATCTTTCATCCATTATTTCTTTTTGTCCTTTGCTTGCCGGGCACCAATGCCTCGTTTGATGAGGTTCAAGGAAATAACCAACCGGAAGCCGCTCATGATCTACTTTGGTGCCTTTACGTTGCAGCTGGTGCCACGGTTCAATCAGAGACCCATCGACGGGAGCCGGACACGTCGGTCGTGACACGTCGGCGTGCTTCGTCAAAGATGGATACGATGTGCTTCGTCGAAACTTCCATGACGGGGTCACAGAGATTGTCTAACGTCCCTCGTTGGCTGATTGGAATTCTCTTCTCTTCAGTACTTCTCTTCGGGGACACCGAGGTGGGAGTTCTGCTGATTGGAACCTATGGTGAGCCTTGAGGCGGTGTGAATGACCCAGAGAAGGCGGCGTGTCCGTTTTGAACGACAAGCCTGACGTCTCTCTAAACGGAACTGAGTTTTAAACGCCACATGTCTTCCAATAAGGAAGGCATGGAAGGAAGCCGATGTCGGCGTGTCCGTCTTCAGACTCTCGAAGAGAACCTGCGGACGAAGCCGGACTTGGCTTCAATAGACTTGTGAACAAAGACGGACGTAAAATCTGTCCTGCCGGTGCCACTGTGGCATGTCACATCTTGCAAGAGGGCGCTCGCCTTGGGATGCCTTGGGTATTGGACCTCTTAACCTTCTACAAAAAAGATCAAAAAAGATATTTCTACGAAGAACGATTTTGATCTTTTTCAATAGTCGTTTTCTTGCTCCCTTCCTTCCTTCCTTCCTTCCTTCCTTCCTTCCTTCTCTTAATTGCCTACAAGAAGGCCTTCCCAACAAACATATTTGGTGTGGAACGTGTGTGTCATGTATTTGCACCTGAGGCAAGGGTGCCACTCACTGAGGGGCCACCTGCGGCAGTCGCTACTCAGCCCCAAGGACGGTCGAGGGATGTTGACCAAAGCGCAATGCTGCGGAAGGCATAGTGGAAGCCCTTTGCTACTAACTAGTATAGCTTCTTACTCCTAGTAGTAAGGCCAGGAGCCCCGTTCGTAGCATCCTTCCTCCTAGTAGTAAGGCCAGGAGCCCCGTTCGTAGCGTTTGAGTTGCCACAGGACCTCGGTATAGTTCCAACTGCATGGTGCAAATGGAGGCGGTGCAACTTTTTCCATCGAACACCGAGAAATTTCAGCCGTCTGAAGAGCCTCATGTCGCAGAACAACAATGTCGCTGCATAGCTCAAACAACTCACCTCCTTCCAGGGACCCCAGACGGTCCGCTGCCCCAGCGACTGAACCGAGTCTGCATAATGATCTGGGACCAGCACAGCTGGGCTCATGGTCATTGTTTTTGTTTTGCTTGGCAATACCTGGTGTGGGCTTCTATCTTAACTCAGAGACTCAGAGATTAGAAGTTGTTTTGGACCTAGTCTCCTGAAGATTCCAGCTTAGAAGTCCCTGCGCTACGACTTAGGGATACACTATGACCGAGTTCAAAGCTTTGGTGAGATTCATTCCGAGTTCCTCAGACGCCATCGGGGTGGCCGCTTCTCCAAGGTACCCAACGGGGCTTTCCCTGTCAGGCGGCCATTGCCACCGTGGAACGAGCTGTGCGTCAAACGAGTTGCAACATCTCCCATCCATCCGCGTTGAAAGCCATCGGTTCACAGAGATGACAAGCAAGGTTTGATCCATGACAAGAACCAGTGAAAACGCACAGCCATAAAAGGACAGTACCAACAGAGTGAAGCACAGTGAAGCTTTCGACAGACTTTCGACACGTAGGTCAGCAGCTGCATGACGTAGGTCCCCAGGCTGACACGTAGGTCCCCAGACTCGGCGGCGTAGCTTTAGGATGCCACCGGTTCTTCATCGACTGATCCGGTCTGTGCAGCGAAGACTTCTGTCTTTCTTTGATGGGACTGGCCGCGAGGCACGCGTCCGACGTGCACGAGTCGAGCACGTCGTGTGGGATTCGAGTGGGCATGGTGCTTGTTTGGCCTTTGGGGCAATCAGACTGCATTCTGAGCATTACTGGAAAGGGTCGCGAGTCCGGAAAGCCTTCACTCATGACTTGGCCACATGTAGAGTATAGGGACCAGAAAGTGTGTCGAGTGTACAAGGAGCAGCCGAGATTGCCATGCTGAAACTGGTCGTACGAACAGTGAATGTCCAAGTTTGTGAATCAAAATTTCAGATTCTTCACAGTGAGACCCAGTTCCCGTTCTATTCTCTTGTTCATTTTGAGAGCCTTGCTTACACTGACACTGAGTGAGATTTCAGTGAATCGATATCCAGAAAAAAGACTTCAGAAAATGACTGGATGGACTCCACAAAAAGGGACTAATGCACAACACTCCCTGATCAGGCCGAGAATCCTGATCCCTTGTTGGATGTGGTCCAGCAATATCCCAATGAGGCCCGGCCCAGACTCGTTGTTCGGTCAATGAACTGTGAGGCACGGGAGACACCGTAAGGACTGGATAGCTCAAAAGTATATAATAGCGAGAATCTATCCAAAATAGGCTGTAGTATGTCCAGTTAGCCCCTCAAAACCACTAATTACTATTGAAGCTTTCAACATTTTTCAACTGATATTCCTCAGCAAGGAGGCTTGGAAAGAACATGAGCTGGTTCACCAAAAGCTGCTCCGAGCGTCTTTCCTTGCAGGCAGCCTGGTTCATCAAGGCTGAGCGAGATGGTTTTCTTAATTTCCTTTTTCTCTTCGTTTGATCGATGATGATTATTGATGGTTATTGATGGTTTGAGTTTAGATGATTCCAACCTAAGACATCTTTTAGATGGTTTCTCCAAAAGTTCAATTCTTTTTGATTCTTTTCCGTCTTCCGTATACCATGTTTATCCGTACTCCTTTGATTCCACGTGGCGCCCACGGGGGGTTCTCACGGGCCGCCCGTCTTTTGAGGTGGTGATGTTCTACGGCAGCGTTTCGAGCTTGGCCTTCGCCTCGGAACGTTTCGTGCGGTTCGTCCGACGTGTGTTTGGCCAACTCGGCCGTGCGAACTCGGCCGTTCGCAGTTTGGAAGCTGAACATGCCGGATGTCGCTATGCGTATCGTGCGCGGGCTTCGATCGAGGCGTGAACTCGATCGAATCGAGGTCACAGTGGTGCCATGTGGGCTTTTCCTTTTGATCTTCTGGGATCCTTGTAGGTGCGGGGTCGCAGGTGACGCCACGGGATTGTGTAGCTTCTTGGAGACGACCAACTGATGTAATCAAACGATCCAAAGAAGACACGGACAAAGCCTTTTCATTGAAGAAAGTAGGTGTCCGGAATGAAGAGGCCTCTGTGTTCAGGTGGTACCATGTTTCAGCAAGGGCGTTGTTGCAGAAGAGATTTCTTTGACAAGCGAGAGGCCAAAAGAAGAAGTAGGGATCTGAGCATGCCCCATGCAGGCTGTGTAACAGGCCACTGCGATGTTGGCAGCAGCCTTAGAGAAGTGAAGCAGGCCAAGAGACAGCAATGACTGAGATTCGTGGATTCGCCGATGGATGGGACGTCTTCAATGATTGATGGAGCCCACTGTGGAACCTACTAGCCATGGCCTCCACCTAATAGCGATTGGCCTCCACCTAGAGCTGGTACGCGATCATGTTGGGTCGGACCCAAGGCTGGCCATACACTGCATCCTGCAGCTCCTGCAAGCGCCTGTCCGCATTGTTTTCTACCTGCGGGTGCGTGATACTTGGCGGACAATCGAGTGATGGAAACACCGTGACATGTCAAGGGTTGCTCCATGCAGCTTGAAAGGAATACAGAAACATAAAGAAACCACACACACAATCAGGCTTATCATGGCTCACCATGGCTGCACAACGGTTTACATGAGTCATGCGACGCCCAACAACACTCATGGCTCACCACGTGTCGATCCTCGTGCCTCTCAAGGAGGTGCAGCGCTTGGATGGTGACATCCAGGAGAGGGTTGTCTTCTCGAAACTGCTTGTGTTTTGAGATCTCTCATGCCTATTTTGGTGATGAACACCATTTTGCGGTGACGGAACTCTCTCAGTGGCGAACGCTTCATAAATAACCGGTGTACCAGTAGTTGCCGCCGATCGGTGTTTGTCCAGTCATTCCTCCATTAAGAGTTCTACAAGTAGCCAGCCAGACACAGGTCCATCTGAGCTAAATGATGTGGCCACAGGCATTCATGGATCCCCGACAGCTTGCTGTGAGGAGTGCATGCGACAGCTCACGCAGGCTCCTGCCTGGAGGAGTAGCAAGGCCAGACGCTTTCGACACTTTAGGCCACTGTGGAACCTAATAGCGATGGCCTCCACCTAATAGCGATGGCCTGCAACCCAATAGCAATGGCCTCAAACCTAATAGCGATGGCCTCCAACCTAATAGCGATGGCCTACAGCCCAATAGCAATGGCAACCGCCTAATGGCGATGGCCTCCAACCGGCCTTCAACCTAATAGCCATGGCCTGCACCTAATAGCGAACTCCAACCTAATCGCGATGGCCTCCAACCTAATTAGCGATGGCCTCCAACCTAATATCGATGGCCTACAACCCAATACCAATGCAACCACCTAATAGCGATGGCCTCCAACCTAATAGCGAGGCCTTCAACCTAATAGCAATGGCCTCCACCTAATAGCGATGGCCTCCAGCCTAACAGCAATGGCCTCCACCAAATCGCGATAGCCTCCAACCTAATAGCGATGGCCTCCAGCCTAACAGCAATGGCCTCCACCTAATAGTAATGGCCTCCAACCTACTAGCGATGGCCTCCAACCTACTTGCGGTGGCCTCCAACTCAATAGCAATGGCCTCCAACCTACTAGCGATGGCCTCCAACCTACTTGCGATGGCCTCCAACCTACTAGCAATTGCCTCCAACCTAATAGCAATGGCCTCCAACCTAATAGCAATGGCCTTCAACCTAATAGCGATGGCCTCCAACATTGTAGTGATGGCCTCCATCTAATAGCGATGGCCTCCAACCTAATATCGATGGCCTCCAACCCAATTAGCGATGGCCTCCACCTATCTATAGCGAGCAAGCTATTGCCTCCACTGGACTTGTTTCGACAATTCGAGCCCTGATGCTTTTGGTTTGGGAAGTCGGATCTCCATGATCTGTGGGCATGCACCGTGGATGGGATGGGGAGGCTGATGAGGACTTTTTGAGGACTTAATGAGAACCATGAGGTTCCCGCTGCCCTTAGGGATTTTATTGAATGCCTGGTGATTGTCTTTTGATGTGATGGGCGCAAAAAAGCAAAACAGCACGGCCCTTGGCAGTTGGTGTCGATCTCCAGCTATGCCTGGTTTGTGTTGGGTGCTACTTGGATGCAAGCAGAGTGCATCAGGGCTAAGTGACAAGGACCATGGTTGAAAACAGATGTATCAGCATAGTTTCATGATTTGAACTAAGCCTGCAGCTTCACACTCCTCGTTCCTTCTGAACTCGCACACGAGATAGACAGGTATGAAGCAGCTTGTTCCAGTGTTGCACACACATGGGGAAGCCAATGGCTTCAAACGACAAGTTCTTGGACCTTTTTGATCTTTTTGCTGCTCCTTTGATTTCATCCACTTTGTGCAGAGTCTCCATCCTTACACTGCGAAACATGATAGACATCTCACTCAGTGCATGAATCTTCCCCAGATCCTTTTGTCAATTTCTTTTTTTCCAACAATCCTGCAGACTGTCAACACCCTCACTGCAATATATCAGCCCAATCATGGAGAGGCTTCTCCTTAATACTGTTCTGATATCACTGGCGCCTCCCATGCTTATCATCCAGCAAGCATCTCAGTGCTCCTGGATGCTGATGATGTGATACCTATGTTGGGTATCAGCGGCATCGCAAAGAACAACAGCAGTTCCTCCAACAGAGTCCTGCTCGGTCCCAGGTCGTGTGGTTGCTGAACTCCACATATTGCCCCAGTTGCCCTGGCCTCTACAGGTGCGCATCAGTATTAGGATGTATTAGGTTGTCATAGGTATTCTTTGTATTAGGTAGTAGCTTCTTGCTCCTAGTAGCGATGCGCTTTGCTCCTAGTAGCTTCCTTGCTCCTAGTAGTACGGCCAGGAGCCCCTAGTAGCTTCTTGTTACTAGTAGCTACTTGTAAGCAGGATTCGCGAGGTGGAATTTCTCCTTTGGCGGTTCAGAGGAACAGATCGCAAGACGGTGAGAGTACTTGACAGCTGTGAATTCGCAGTGCTTCTGGTAGTGTGCCACGATCTGGGTGTTTTTGGATGCGACTTCTACTTTTCGGACGTTTTGAGGCTGTCCTTGACTGTGGTCGTGGCCTCTTTTGTGAAGCTACTCATGACCTTAGCCGCAGCCTCAAAAAAGAGACGAGACCACCCGAGACGAGACGTGCACGTCCGAGACGGAACGCTCTGAAGGATCGGAGAAGCTCAGGTGGTCTTTAATCGTTGCTTCCCGGTGCGTGGTGAGGCCGACGGTTCCGAATGACGGTTGGGGTTTGTGGGTTTGCAGGGGAAGAAGAACAATGAGGGTAGCGACAGTGTGGTCCTTGCTTTGACTGAAAACGAAGCATTCCTGCGAGCCTAGTGGCATGGGGTAGTACATTTGGCAAAGTATTAGCTGAAGCTGAAGATGTCAATATGATTCAATATGAGCTTATGTCACCATTTGAGATCAAATTTGCATGCCAAGGGGCTTTTGAAGAAACTAAGCTGATCGGGACGTAAGCGGCGCCAGTGCAGTACAATCTCGTGCATTTGTTTTTCTTGCGGCTGTACAAAAAGGTTGTATGTAAGGCCTTAGGCTTTGGTTTTGCCGATCTTCGTTGCAACAAACATGTTGAGTTTAGGTGGGACTCAACTACCGGTACCCCTTTCCTCAGCGATCAGGCCACGTTGCCAAAGCCACGGGGCGCAACCCAGGCGAGAGACCGTGGTAGATCTAGCGAGCTTTCTGCATTTTGATGCGTTGTTCCACTGCAGATGCCATGCCTGAGAGATGGAGATATGGAACGGTATGGAACAGTGTGTTCCGACACGGGGAAAGCAATGCCTCAAAGGAGCTGATCGATTCCCTGCCACTCTTCAAATTCGACCCTGAGGTGCGGGTCGAAGTCGCGTTTTTCTCGTGGCACGTCCAGGATTTTTCTTTCACTCGTTGGAAGCAGGATGAGATTTCGGACGTCCTTTTTCGACGATTGAAGCAGGGCGGGGTGCCAATCGCAAAACCTCCAAGGGGGTTTTCCTTTGTCCATCTTTGTCCTCACATGGATCAGATGATGCCAGCGAATGGCCCATCGGATCCCGCTGCTACGCTGTCGGGTGATCTCCAGGACCTCGCAGCGGAACATGTGCGGCGGAGCCGTGACAGCAGCTGCGCTGTGTGTTTGTGCGACTTCGACAGTCGGGCGGCTCAGTGGGAAGCTTCGATAGTGGGGCGGCTCAGTGTGTCCTACAATCAGTCTTTTTCCATGGGTGTTTGTGGTTGATTTCGATGCATTCTTCAAGACAGTGATCACCCACACATGTGAGCATGTGGGCGTTTCTGGAGAATCTAGCCTCGCACGACTCGATTTGACTCGTGTGTGAGGAGGTGAAGCTCTACGTCGTTTGCCGTGCAGCCACAGCTTTCACCAGAGCTGCATCGATCGCTGGCTTCGGCGGAATCAGGCCGTTCACAGACTGGCTTTCCAAGACGACAGTGATGTCTTGTTGCAGTATGAAGGTCACGTTGCGCTCAAGTAGGGGTGAGGAGGCCATCGCTAGTAGGTTGGAGGCCATCGCTAGGTTGGAGGCCATTGACATTCCTTTCTTCTGCCAGGTCTGCCCTTTGTGCCTGCGTGATGTCGAGGTGGGATTCGCAGTTCGAGTGCTCTGTGACTCTGTGCCGTCGAATGGAATCTGCACTCACGCCGAGGCAGCGGATGGTTCTAAACAACCGAAGGGTCGGATCAAAGCGGACTGATTTTGACTCCGAAAGTTCTGTGGAGCAACTTAATCCCTGAAGGAAACCTTCAGGCCGTAGTTCGGAAGTGCAATCGCACTGCACCCCGACACCTCACCGAAGGATTTGGTCTCACCCGACCCCGTAGCAATGGGGAGAAAAAGCCGTGAAGGAGCAGAAGGAGCACATTTGCTATTAAAAAGACTAAGGGGTAAGGCAATCCAAGGACTGAACATGACTGAAAGGAAGCGCTCTTGCAAGCCAAATTGCAGTCATGAGTCATGTGAGAATTCTGAATTGTTGATTTTCTGACATAATATGTCTGACAGGAGCGTGTCCTTCGCGAATGGGAAGGCCAGTCGGCCAGTCCTTTTGTTGACCAATTGCCACTTGACAACAGCGCGTTTGACCTTCGCAGGACTACTCTCGAGATCGGGACGGCAGGCTGTTCGATGTGACCCTGAGTAAGGCACCTGCGCGACGTCGTTATGTTTTATAATGAAGTCAGTCACGTTTTGGATCCATGGATCTCCCCAAGTCACGTATAGTCTTGGAGCGGGTGTTGTCGGTGTCGGAGCTGGTTCAGGATCCCACTGGACCTGCAACCACCTGCACTAGTTGTGGCAATGTGCAAGGAGCCTAGGTCAGTGATAGACTTTACCAGGAAAGGCTGAAAGGATTCAATCGATTCGATGCCCAACGAATGGCTACCCAATAGCGATGGCTTCCAACCTACTTGCGATGTCCTCCAACCTACTTGCGGTGGCCTCCAACCTAATTGCGATGGCCTCCAACTTACTAGCGATGGCCTCCAACCTACTTGCGGTGGCCTCCAACCTACTTGCCATGGCCTCCAACCTACTAGCGATGGCCTCCAACCTACTTGCGATGACCTCCAACCTACTTGCGATGGGGCCCCTCCAACCTACTTGCAGTGGCCTCCAACCTACTTGCGGTGGCCTCCAACCTACTAGCCATGGCCTCCAACCTAATAGCGATGGCCTCCAACCTAATAGCGATAGCGTCCAATCTACTTGCGATGGCTTCCAACCTACTTGCGATGGCCTCCAACCTACTTGCGATGGCCTCCAACCTACTAGCGATGGCCCCCAACCTACTTGCGATGGCCTCCAACCTGATAGCAATGGCCTCCAACCTGATAGCGATGGCCTCCAACCTACTTGCGATGGCCTCCAACCCACTTGCGATGGCCTCCAGCCTAAAAGCGATGAAAGGGTTCAATGGTTTAATGCCCAATTAATTGCTGTCCAGGTGCAAACAGTATCGGTTGAACGTCTACCTAGATCAATGTGAAGAGAAGTGAGGATGGTAAAACTGTGTAAGGAAGAGGTGTTCATCAAGCATGCCAACTGATAGGTTTCCAGTTTTCGAGACTTGTGAATGACGTGCCAACTGTTCAACAAGCAGCTTCCCCTGAGACCTCAGGTTTATGCCCGATTCGGAGTTCTGCCGGAAGTGTGGGGTGAAGCGGGTAACGGCCTTGACGAGAGGCAGAGAGAGAGAGAGAGTCTTTATCATGTTCCCCTCCTAGGTTGGAGACCATTGCTCAATAGTGCAAACCACTGAATCTGAGGAGATGAGCATGAAGCCGGACCGTTTCGGCTTTGCCAACGTGCCTGTCCAGGATGGTAGGCACTTGTCGCAAGAATCTACCGGTGCTCAAAGGTGTTCTCGGTGAAATGACATGTGCAAAGTTCTCGATTCCACAGCAGATCATCAATGATCTTTTTCTCCAACATGTATCGTTTTTCTCCAGCTTCATTCAGCTTCCTGGTTTCGTTTTTCGAGCTGGGGAAGTTCGGAAGGTCTCTCCAGATCACCTGGATTGATCCCAGTGGCCTGCTGGCGAGGCAAGAGAATCACCTTTGGAACGTGAAAAAAGAAGACCTGGCCATTGGGATGCCATTGGTAGTAACAAGAAGCTACTAGTAACGGCATTTCATGGCATTTCTAATAGTAGCTAGAAGCTACTAGTAGGTCTAGGAGCAAAGGGCGTCGCTACTAGGAGCAAGGATGCTACTAGGGGCTCCTGGCCGTACTACTTGGAGCATTCTTACTACCAGTAACAAGAAGCTACTAGGGGGCTCCTTGCGTCACGTCTTTGCCGAAGTGAGCGATGTTTGGCGATTGCCGTGGCGTGAACTTTTCGGAACGGCTCAGGTGGAACACACTACATCCCAATAGCGAGGTCAAGGAGGCAAACAAAAACGTCTCTTTTGTTTAAAACGGGGGGTAGGCCGCTAAAGGTAGCTAGTAGTAGCTAGGTAGCTTAAGTAGCTACTAGTATGGTCACAGGATAGCTCACGCTTCTTCCAGGAAGCTCCCCCTGCCGGGCCGGGGGGGAGCTTCCTTGAAGCGCTCGCACTCATTTGGTTCCTAATTTCTAGGGAAACGTGAAGAACATGACTGAAGGACACTTGGCAGTTCATACGTCCCTCCGTCCGCTCAGGGTCAGATCATCGTGGCCGTCAACGGTGTGTCCGAAGACGTGGAGGCACCACGTGAGTGGCGCACGGCATGGCGCGTTGGCCAGCGACGCCAGGGTGTCACATTGTGACTAGCAAGGACGTTACCTATAGGGGCTCCTGGCCTTACTACTGGTACTAGGAGCAAGGACGCCCAAGGACGCTACTAGGGGCAAAGGGCATCGACGCTACTAGGAGCAAGGACGCTACATGTGTTTGCCAGGCGATGCGTTTGCAGTTGCAGATGAACAGCATCCAGATGTCATTGAAGGCAATGCAGCCCCGCAGATGTGTCTTGCTGCCATGAAGCATCCGGTGTCCATGTTTTGCGAACCAAGATGCTTCGGACTGTGACACCGAAGGCCTCGCGGACTGAGGGTGCTCCCGAGCACCGAGAGGGCGAGGGCGAGCACCTGGTTTTACCTCAGGAGAACCAGGGGGAGACAGGAAATGAGGCCAATTCTTTTTTAAACATGTTTAAACAACTTCTGTCTTGCTTTGGAACCATTTGGAACCACAATGTGCTGAAAGAACCCAGATACTGTTGCAAGAAGCATCCCTACAAATCAACCACATTGGACATAAGGAACACAGTATGTCACATCCTGTGGTAATGAAGGAGGAGATTGGTGTGTCAGACTGGCATCTATTTCTCTCGTCACGTCACAGTGTCATTGGGAGCTTCGCTCGACAGGACTTTCTTCGAGTTGGGAGTCGGAAGACATGGAGCAACTGAAGGCCGCCCCGCTTCACAACTTCGAAGGTCGATGGTCGACCCGGAATCCTGGACTCCCTGGACCTTCCAGAAGTGAAGTGACCTTACAGGACCCTACTGGGGGACGCATAGGATAGCCTATAGATGCCTATAGGGTCCTTCAACCTCTGTTGGTTTGGTGTTTTCATGTTTTTTTGTCCATCTCTCTTAGGTTGGAGGCGACGCGTGCCGAAAGCAGACACGAACCAGGTGCATCAGCGACTGCCACTGCCGTAACTGCCACTGTGCCTAAGCATGTGGAGTTGGATCCGAGTGTGCAGTGATGTTGGGAGATTTGTGAGATGCAGAAATCTTAACAACATACGTTGTGTGAAGTGTGATTTCTCTTGTGATGCATCCTTGTGTGTGATTTTCTCGTGAAGTGTGATTTCTCTTTCAAATGTTTTCATACGTTAATATGCTGAGTCGTTTTTGCAAGTAACATCTAAATCTATACCATTTTGGGATGACAAGACCTACTAACTACAGACCAACAGCACGCGACTTTTCATTTGATCTCACTCACACCTTTTCAATCCTTTTCACGTTCATGCGCTCTGGAGGATCAGGGAGTATCTTGTTCGCCTTTCTACATTAAGGTAATCTTGGACTGCATCACTACTAGTAAGAAGGGCATTACTATTAGTAGCTAGAAGCTACTAGTAGCAAGTGCATCGCCAGTAGGAACAGGTGCATCGCTATTAGTAGCTAGAAACCACTAGTAATCTTGGGTCCGTCTGGCGGAAGCCCCAAACCCCAAGGAGGAGTCTTCCCATTGAGAGACGCTTGGAAGATCTCCGGTCACCAGGCCCTGATGAGGGGTGAATCCAAACACTCAACCAGCTGAGGGCAAAGAAACCCTCTCCAAGCTGAGCCCGCGCTGTGAAAACTGCTTTGTGGCGAGTTGAGCAAACCAAGTGGCCCGGCTGTCATTTGCATCCTACTATGTTTTCTCATGATTCAAATTGATTCAACATCTTCAATGAGAGGGACCTGATCTCACTGTCTTTTTACCCAGAACCGTCTGACATTTTTTTTTGATCTGTAAGTCTTTTGGGATGAGCGTTCGTCGACTTGTCAGAGATCCAGTTCCCGGGCCGGGAGGGACCCTGCTCACAGGCTCCGACTGCTAATGTGCGGCCAAGCGACACAGGCCAAATTCAGTGCAAGAGAAGCCGCTTCCAGGCCTTACCAACACCGATGCCATCGTTCAACAGTGATCAAGATACTTCTGACCAAGTCTCACCACAAGGATCCATAGGGATGTGAGACTGAAAGGATCACCTCAGCGAGAATTCTGGAAGGGGGGTCTGACGGGATCTGAGTAAGTACTCTTAGGTTGGCCATCGCTAAGCCATTGCTATTAGGTTGGGGGCTCTTGGGATCTGTGTATTCACTCTTGGGAGTTCCCCTGATCCTCTTGGATCGGGGTCTCCCCGGGGTGATGGTCTTGGCTTCTCGAGGACCCAGATTCCGAAGGCCCACAAGAGCGCTTCGGGTCGAAAAGAGCGCTTCGGATCTAGCATCGAGGATTTTGGTGCGAACCTTTCGTCGGGATGTACTTGTTCCGTTCGTAGCGTCCTTGTTACTACTAGTAAGTAAGGCACTTGTTGCTAGAAGCGATGCACTTGTTCCTAGTAGCTTCTTGTTGCTAGTAGTAAGGCCAGGAGCTACTACAGTAGCTTCTTGATCCTAGTAGAAATGCCCTTTGCTCCTAGTAGCTTCTTGTTCCTAATCCATGTCAAGAGATTGGTGTCTTTCTCCAAAGACCCAGTGAAGCTGTTGGTTTTCTCTGGTGTTTTTTTTGACTTTGTGTTGGCATCGAAGTTTTCACGAGAAGAGAATTGCGACGGCGATTCGATTCCTTTCGTCGTTCATTTGGGCTCTCACAGTGGCTCTCACCAGCTGCACCAGGTCTCG